ACTTGCTCACCTTTTTGAAGACCCTCTCTCCACCCATAGTCACATTCTGAGGTCCTAGACGTGAGGGCTTCCACATACAAATGTGGGGGGACACCCTTCCAGCCATTACGGGCCCCTCACTAAGGTAGTGGCCGTCGAACACATGGGAGCCTCCTGGAAATTACGCAAGACAAAAAGTACTGAACCACGGTGCTCTACGCCAAATTCACCCTGCTTCACCGGCCACCACGTAGGGGAGGAGCCAAACCCTGAGGAGCACAGAATGTCATGGAATTGGATGGACATCGTCAGAACTGGACAGATGTCACAAAACTGCAAGCACGACACATACTCTGTTTTCCCACTTTCTCGAGTCCACCACCTGTGTCCTAGATAAAAAATAAAACAGTAACAATTAAAAAAAAAAAGAAATAAGGTCATACAAGTACTAAATAAACCATGAGTAGATTCCCTTATAAGCCTAGGATTGGGGGGGGGCTGATCTTAAAATCCCGAAGAAATAACAAAATATGATAAATTTGATTAAAAATTTAAAAACAACTTTTGCATGACAGAAAGATACCATAAAGAAAAGTCAAAAGATAACTGACAAAGTGGGGGGAAAAGATTTGCAATATAGCCCAATATAAAGAGTTCCTAGAAATCAAGAAGAAGAGACCAACTCTCTGTCAGAAAAAAAATAAAGAAATAAAGCTAAAGATATAAAGAGCACACAAAAGAAATAAAAATGGCCCTTAAACTTTGGGGAAGATGTTCAGCCTCACTCATAGTAAGAGAAACGCCCATTTAAACTACCCCAAAACACCATTTTGCACCTAAGCAGGGTGACAAACATTCAAAAATTCGGCAGCATCCTCTGCTGGTGTGGGTGTGAGGAAAGGACGGACACTTTCATCTTTCGCTGGTGGCAATGCAAAACAAAGACCGCGGTGATAGCTAGCAAAATGATCCACACGTTTCTCTTTAGTCTAAAAACCCACTCCAAAGAACCTATTGTAAAGATAACCAGCAAAAAAAGAAAAGAAAAGAAATGCCATGCAGAGGTTATTTAGTGTTGCATTGTTTGTAGTGGCACAAGACTGCCAACAGCTTTTTGTCTTCCAGTATGTTGTCCAACAATTTATTGTCAGTGGGGGGTCAGCGGGATAAACGGTGGCAGTGCCACACCTTGGAAGAGAAAGGGAACAAGGAAGTCTTCGGTGCCCATAGGAGATCTGCAGGATATATTGTAAAGTTAAAAAAAAAAAAATGGGCGCCTGGGTGGCTCAGTTGGTTAAGCGACTGCCTTCGGCTCAGGTCATGATCCCAGGGTCCTGGGATCGAGCCCCGCATCGGGCTCCCTGCTCAGCAGGGAGTCTGCTTCTCCCTCTGACCCTTCCCCCTCTCATGTGCTCTCTCTCTCTCTCATTCTCTCTCTCAAATAAATAAATAAAATCTTTAAAAAAAAAAATGAAGACAAGTATATACAGAACGCTAGTTTTTGTGTGAGGAGGAAGATCTCTCTCTCTTTCACACACACACACACACACACGCACGCACGCGCGCACACACACACACACACACAGGCTTTATATTTGCAAAAAGAAACACCAGGAAGACAAACCAAACACTACTGAAAATGGTTGCCCATGGGGGTTGGGGACGGACAGGAATGGCTGGAAACGAGCTCTCTCCGGCATACCTTTTTATGTGGCTCTGACTTTGGAATCATTAAATAATACGAAAATTCAAAAGTTAAATCTAACAAAGCAATCCATAAATATCCAAAACCAAACTGAAACAAATGTACCCAACTGAGTGTTATTGTCATGCATAACTACACAGAGAAAATAATTATTTTGGGCAACTCGGTGTTTTTTGTGTATGTGCACAGTGAGGAATATTACAAGGAAAATCAGAGCCTCAGAGAAATCTTAAACTTCCTTCAGTCGTTTTGGTCTTAGTAGTTAATATGGGTACATTCCTTGGAAACTATTTTGCATCTGATGGAATAATGCGAATGACCGTGTTCATGGTTTTAGGAATCCGGCGTTTTAGGGAAAGAGAAGGCACAGTCATGGTAAGTGTGAACTGGAAACATCAGTACGAACTTGTGATATTTTTTTCCCCCTTTCACAAGTTTGTGTTTTCCAGCTCTGTCCCCTGGAAAGGCCTGGAAACGGTGGCGATGGGCACCCCTGACCCCCAGAGTGGATGCCACTCAGAAAGGGCTCCTTCGAGGCACGGCCAGTTCTAGGATTCAGCAGGAAGTGTGAAAGGTGGCGGGCGGGGGGGAGGGGAGGGGAGGAACGTGGCTGTGTCAGAGGACACACGTGGCAGCGAGAAAGGGTGCCCCCGGGCCACCGATGTGACAGCTCTCACATCAACAGCGACAAGGACCCGTGAGTTCATAGCGATGAGAGAGAACAAAACAAGGAAGGCAAAGCTGACCAACCTTGTGGGCGCCATCGGAAGGATCAGCGCCCACCCTAAGGACCTCTTTTGACTTGCTCACCTTTTTTTTTTTTTTAAAGATTTTATTTATTTATTTAACTGACAGAGAGAGAGACACAGCGAGAGAGGGAACACAAGCAGAGGCAGTGGGAGAGGGAGAAGCAGGCTTCCCGCCGAGCAGGGAGCCCGATGCGGGGCTCGATCCCAGGACCCTGGGATCATGACCTGAGCCGAAGGCAGTCGCTTAACCGACTGAGCCACCCAGGCGCCCCTACTTGCTCACCTTTTTGAAGACCCTCTCTCCACCCATAGTCACATTCTGAGGTCCTAGACGTGAGGGCTTCCACATACAAATGTGGGGGGACACCCTTCCAGCCATTACGGGCCCCTCACTAAGGTAGTGGCCGTCGAACACATGGGAGCCTCCTGGAAATTACGCAAGACAAAAAGTACTGAACCACGGTGCTCTACGCCAAATTCACCCTGCTTCACCGGCCACCACGTAGGGGAGGAGCCAAACCCTGAGGAGCACAGAATGTCATGGAATTGGATGGACATCGTCAGAACTGGACAGATGTCACAAAACTGCAAGCACGACACATACTCTGTTTTCCCACTTTCTCGAGTCCACCACCTGTGTCCTAGTGAGCACTCGGGGGCCCGATTCCTCCAAAATAACACACTCAAACACATTTAGGAGATAATCCAACCAGGCCAAAGAGACAACTAAGCATTGTGTGCCACCCGACACACAGTTCCCGTCAATGCCTACAACACCTGCTTGAAGAAATGGCATCTGAGTCCCCAGCGAGCAAGACTCTAGACACACCACTGATTGATAGATCTAGTGGCGAGAGGAACGTGGTAAAGAATGCTTTGCAGGGGCGCCTGGGTGGCTCAGTCGTTGAGCGTCTGCCTTCGGTTCAGGTCATGGTCCCAGGGTCCTGGGATCAAGCCCCGCATCGGGCTCCCTGCTCTGCGGGAAGCCTGCTTCTCCCTCTCCCACTGCCTCTGCTTGTGTTCTCTCTCTCGCTGTGTCTCTCTCTGTCAAATAAATAAATAAAATCTTAAAAAAAAAAAAAAAAGAATGCTTTGCAATCAGCAAAATCCAGGCTGTGCGAAATGAGGAGACCCGAAGCCGTGGCTTCTTCGATAAACCCAATGGCAAGGAAAACAGAAGCAGCCACAATGGAAGGAGTGCCGACTGATGACAAGGACCGTGAGACATAGCGACCCACTGCACTGTCAGCCTTTACTTAAATCCTCATTAAAACCAGACGTAAGAAGACAAAGATTTTGAAGATGTTCACGGAAATTCGAGTATCAATCAGTTGTTTGAGGACATGAAAGATATTAACGTGGGACAATGGGAAGTGTTTTGATTTTGCAGAAATCTTCATCTTTTGGAAAATATATACAAAAATATGTACGGATTCAAAAACACACACACAGGCACCCAATGTATTGAACCTGAATCTGAGTGGGTCGGTAGTTAATTTTGTGTGTGCAGCGCAAATGAAGGATAGAGAGACGAGTTAAGGAATACCACGAGTCAGGAAGCCCCTGGACAAATCTGAACAAATCAGAATCCCAGGCTCTCTGGTGCGTCAAAGGCAGGAGAGAAGCAAGCAGGGCCGACGACCTGCCTTGGCTTAGGAGACACCTAGCGAGGTGTGTGCCTCGTTTTCCTCGCAAATCTAACCTGATGGAAACCAAAGAGACATTCTTCAGACACTGGGGAAACTCAGAGGTGGCCTGGGCATTGAATGGTCTCGAGGCATGAATGTTAACCATCTTAGGAGCATCTGGGTGAGGGAGCGCCCAGAATGGGACCTGGTATCTGCTTCAAAGCACACAATCAGCAACTGCAACAAGACTTTGTGTGTGTGTGTGTTTTAAAGATTTTATTTATTTGAGAGAGAGAGAGAGAGAGAGAGAGAGCAAGGGGGAGGGGCAAAGGGAGAGGGCAAAACAGGCTCTCCGCTGAGCAAGGATCCTGACGTGGGGCTCGATCCCAGGACCCCAGGATCGTGACCTGAGCCCAAGGCAGATGCTTCACCAACTGAGCCACCAGGCGCCCGCGACAAGATGTTTTGGCGCAGATAAGGCAAGTGTGGCCAGACCTCGATGATGGTTTGATCTGGGGACATGGAGATCCCTTAGATCGTTCCAGTTGTGTGCGTGTTTGAACTCTGGCACCAGAGATACCAAAGATGGCCTTGTGGGTTTTTCCACTCAGGGAGCACGCGCACACACAAGTGCACAAGCGAGTCCCCTTCCTGGTGAGGACAGTGAACAGGTGCCTTCATTCTCTTGGGTGCTTCCAGTGCAAGTCTTGGCAGGGTCAATTTGCACTTCAAGGTCAGCACTGTTGCTTACAACACTGCATTCCCCCAAATGCCTTTTTCTACTTTTTGCCGGGCGGGGAGGGCAGGCAATGAGAGCACTTCGGTGAATGGAAAGAGAGCATCCCTTGCTCCGGAGGTAACTAAAATCAAATACGCAGCAATGCTAACAGTCTGGTTGTGATACTGGACGATGCCACCCCGTGGGGGAAACTGGGTGAAAGGTACAGGGCAATTTCCCGTGAGCCTCTAATTAACAAAAAAAATTTTTTTAAATATACAATTATTTAAAAGTCCTCTTCTGTGAACAGGGGAGTTTCCCTGCAGGTGGCACTTTTGGGAGAAACATGGACCCAGAGAAATGGGTCCCGTGTCTGGGCGTTTCAGGGCGACTGGTCACGGATGCTCCAAGCAAGTCCAACCTGACGATAATCATCGGAGCTGCACGTGGTTATCTGGTCCTCCTCACCGCCCCTTGTGCAGAGTGCTTCCTGGTGGGGAGTCCCCGCGTGCTCATTTGACATAGGCCACCCACCCCGGGGGCCTCGGCTCCCCGGAGCTGTGTTCTCAGACAGGTGCACAGGTGACCGAAGCAATCTTGGAAACAGACAGGAAACTGTCTCGGGAATCAGCCTTCCCCATCTCCCCACATCGAGGAGATGCCTGTAGCATTTCTGTCCATATTCGCAGTTGAGGACACTAAGGCTTGGGAGGCCGAGTCTCGTGCGAGTCACAGACAGGTGGAGAAAGTGACCGAGTGTGACCCAAGCTCCAAACCCGCATCAGCATCAGAGACCACCCTAAAAGAGACACTCCAGCCCAGCAGGGTCGGGATGGAAGGACCAAGCTGGGTGCCTCTGGGGACCCCTGGACAGACCAAAGGCAGGGGCCTCCAGGGTCCTCAAAGGTCAACAGGGGACTGGCAGCTCACAGAGATCTAGAAAATTCTCCACAAAGAAAATCCACTCTCCTAACCCAGAGCCCTGTTTATTTCATTTTTGCACTTTTGGCAGCCACATGGGCACCAGAGGAAAGCATGCGTTCTGTTCCTCTTAGCATAAAACCCCAACACGAGTATGATCCTACATGGCAGATGGCACTCAGCCTCCATGATGGAGAGGCAACCTTCCAGGGGTGTAGCGGGGAGACCACCAGGAGGCGGAGAAGGGTCCCCCACTGACATAGTTAAAATCTAGGCCTCAGAACCAATTGCTGTGGTGTAAGGCCTGCGTCCACCACCTAAATTATGTGATCCCGGGCAAGTCGCCCGATCCCTCTGTAAAAAAGCAGGATGCTGATGGTGCAAGAAACATTTTTCTGGAACATTCTGAAAGATCAGAGCTCCTCCGTGTAGTGTCAAGAACAGCACTGGGCTCAGGAAAAAGCTCAAGATGCATTCATGCTGCTGTTGCCATGGGGACATGCAGGCCCTGCACCTGCCAAGTCAGGCGATTTTCAAGGGAAGCTGGGAGTTTTGATGTGGCATCTCCTGAGTTTTGAAGCTTGGCCTTAAAAACCTGTAGAGTCCAAACCAAACCCATCGGTGGACCACATGGGGCCTGAGGGTCAGGGGTGTGCAGCTTCTGGTCTGAGACTTTGTGGCACCTGTGGAGTCCGCTGAGCTGGCATCGAGGGCTGGGGCCTACTGTAGGCTGGGCGCCGGCCCAGGGCTCATGAGGATGGAGAGATTCATGAGCCCGGCCTTTGCCCTCAGAGCACCCAGACCAGGAGAGGGAGCCCAATATTTGCCCTGCGAGTCATTTCGATGAGCCCGACAGAAATTGCTCCCAAGCAGGTGCAGACAAAGGGCAGGGCCCCACCTGCCCCAGCCCTGGGCAATCTCTGTTTGATTCCCACCTGGTCTTCTTTGAAGGCATTTCGACCCTATCCAGCAAGTTCTGGAAAAGCCTGGAGGCTGACAATCTGCCAGTTTCTCTTGTCCTGCTCGGCTGTTTTCAGACGCTCCAGCCATGGCTGTTCCGGCGTGTGGTTGGGCCTTCTCATGAAGTCAGCGCTGCTGGCCTGCAGAAGTAACCTGAAGAAAGGTAGTCCGACTCGCCAGCACTGGCTGGCTCCTCCTTGCACAGCTCAGTTGTCCGATGTCCTCACTTCAAGGAGGCCAATGGGGACCACCCAACCCAAACAGCCCATTGAGTCCCTCCAGGATGTCATTCTGTCTCCGGCTCTTGACTGCATTTATTGCTGCCAGAAACGTCTCTCTTTCGTTCAGCAAGTCATGCATTGGTCAGTGCTTGTCTATTGGCATCCTAAGAGCAGGGACTGAGGCTGTCCCATGAACTCCTAAGGACAGAGCCTGTTCTCAAACTGTTTGGGGACAGGTGGTTAAATACATAGATGAACGAATAACTATACTCCATCTTTATGGCCCAGAGATGATGCTAAATCCACATGCTACTCAGTGGGCAGATAATCTATGTGCAGGAAGATACTAATATGACTTTGTCCCAGCCAGCTCACCAGGTTCTAGAAGCTTCCAACAATCTCCTGACTGTCCCTTGACAATATAAAATGCCACCGCCCCCTCGCCATCTCCTCTCCCCCGAGTCTCACCCCTTCTGGACTCCATCTGAGGTGGGGAGGGAGGAGTGGCTTCGCACCTCACCACACACTCACACCCCCTGGGGTCACTCACAATGCGCTCAAACTCCTTAGCCTGCCTCAGCTCCCGCGGGAAGCCGTCAATGAGGAAGCCCCGGCTCTCTGGGTGAGATAACATGGCGTTGCAGATCATGTCTAAGATGATGCCCTGGGAAGGAAAGGGGTGGCGCCTTCAGTGCCCCGGGGTCCCTCACCTACATGGCCACCTTGTCAAGTTCTCTCCCTCAGTTTGGACTTCAGCTGAATCCAGGGAGTACCTGCCCTCTCCAGGGCCTGGGATTCTGGGTCTGCTCTGGTGCCCTGGGGCGACTCTGATGCACAGATCCCATCTACTGGGCAAGTGGCTACTGTGTGCCAGGTACAGGGGTGAGCTTCATTTTACAGGTGAGGAAACAGGTACAGAAGGGGCCGGTGATAGAGACGCCCAAGGTCACAAAAGGAATAAATACTAGCAAACTTTACCGAGTGCTTGTGAAGTGCCAGGCACTTTGCCACGTGCAATGACGTCAGCCAACCCTCACTACAGACTCCTGCTGTGGGTCCAGCTGGTCTCCCCTTTTTACAGGTGAGGACACGGAGACTCAGGGCAGCAAGGCAGTGGCCAGGCCAGGAGCCGTGGCCTTCTGGGCCTATCTGCTTCCACAGGGCTTCCAGGGAAGCTCATCCTAATGTACCCCCTTCTTCTTCCCTCTGCCCCGGAGCCTGTGAGCTCTCACCATGGGCACCAGGAGCCCCTGCAGCATGATGTCATAGATCTTCCGGCCCCGCTGGGTGCTGCGTTGGGCCTCCTGCCGCAGCAGCTGGCCCAGCCCCACATGGCAGAAGCCATATTTGGTCGCCGTGTTCTTGCACTGTGTCCCTTTGCCACAACCTGGGCCACACATCACGAAGATGATCAGGGGGGACTTGAGGATGTCTGGGGGGCCCAGGGAAGAGGTGGGGAGAGGGTTTGGTGCCTGCAGGGGCCAGCATGCACCGATGTGACTGTGTCCACAGCCTAGTGTGTGTCCTTGGTGAGTGACACTGGACACGGGTCTCCTGGCATACCCACTTTTGCCCTAGGGTGGCATCTGGGGGTGCATATCCATGCCCAATGATATATCCAGGCATGGCATGCATTAGTGCTGTTATGGGTCGCTGTGAAGCAGATGTGAATTTGAGCAGGCCAGGCCCTCTGCACACAGCACTTCCTTGAAGAATCTCAATGACTCTATCATCCCATTCTACAGTTGTGGAAACAGGCTCAGAGCAGGGCAGGAACTCGCCCATCCTCCAGACCATCCCATACCACCCTCCTCTTCCTCCACTCTGCTCTAGCCCCAGTGGCCTCTTCTGTCCCTTAAACTTGCCAAACTCAGCCCTCTCCTGCTGTGCCCCCTGCACAGTAAGTCCCTCCTCCACTGCCTTCAGGTCACAGCGCCCCCCATCACGCTTTCTCTAAGAGACTCCCTCCCCATCATTCCAACCCAGAGCCCCATTTCTTCCACAGCAGCGGCCATGATCAGCAATGATTTTGCCTGTTTACTTGTTCTTGTCTGTCTCCGCCGCCAGACTCTATACTCCATGAGGGCAAGGACTATTTCTGTCTTGCTGGTCCCTATGTTTCTATTAATTGGCACAGTTCCTGACTTATAGTAGTGGGTGATGAGTAAATGAACGTCCACGGCTACCAGGCATGACCATGGAGTGCAGTAGTTTATAATGCAATGTTGGTGTCTTGCTTCCCTCCACCTTGGCTTAGTGAATTCCTAGCAACTCACAGGGCCCAGCTTAAATCTCCCCTCCTCCCTGAGACCTGAGAGCCAGCTCTTCTTTTTCCCTGTGGCAGCCGTGTTCCCTCCTGCTTGTAGATGCCATTTTCTGAGACCGTCTCCTTCACTACACTCTCATCTCCAGGCCAGGGAGCTAGTTTGACACATTCACCCTGGAGTGCCCAGAACCCCGCACAGCAGGTGCCCACGTGGATCAAAGCATGGCTGATCCTTGAGCATGTGCAGTTGTGTTACTATCACGGGGGGGGGGGGGAAGGGGGTGTGTGCACGCTGGACTTGGGGTGTGGGACACCTGCAGCCCCTCATGCCCTTCACAGCCTCCTTCCATCCCCCCCACCCCAGTGGGCCAGCCGCCCCCGCGATGTTACCCTTTTCCTGGGGTCTCAGGGCCCTGCCCATCTGGGGCAGCTTGGACCTCCACAGACCCATCCCACCAGCGGCCCCTGGGGTGGTCGCGCTCCATCCCTTCCCAGGCCCTGACTCTCCCTGGCTTGGCTCAACGTCACAAGGGCCCGATCATTTGGCGAGATGATGAAGTGTCCCCGGGGCAGAAGGAGGAAATGAACCCAAAGAGGATCAGGTGGAGCCGCAGCTGCTTGCTGCGGAAGAGGCCTCGGTCGCTATGGTGACGCGCCCTCCCTGCACTCACTTCCGGAGTGGAGTGGCGCATGCGCTGGGCGCCCGAGAGCTCGCGAGGAAGGCTAGTTTCTCCCTCCCCTCCCAGGATGCCCCGCGGTTCCGGGTGTGACGTCAAAGGAGGCGTGGCCACATGGCTGATTAAAGTAACCGCGCTATATAGCGAGGCGAGACACCCCCGCCCGAGCGGTAGACGGTGTGATTGCTAGCTCGGGTTCGGGTTGGGCTCTTCCTTCTGGAAAGAGACGGGGGTACGTAAGGCGGAGGGAGGTTGCCATCGCGACGCGGCCCGAGTTTCGTTTCCAGGTTAGGCGCAGGCGCAGACGTGGCCGGAGTGGTCCCCGAGACGGACGGCCGACTGAGCACCGCTTCTGGGGAGCTGCTCCCGGGATCGGTGGCAACTCGGGCTTGGGGTCCTCGATCGGGGCCAGAGACCCGACACCGCGAGGGCGGCTTTCCCGGGACCGAGGGACGCGGACCGGACCCGAACCACCGATCGTCACCCATGGCGGCCCTCGTGAGTATGCGGCGGAGTTGGGGGGTCCCGGCGGCGACCTCTGCAACCCCTCACTCACCGTCCTTCCTTCTCTACCCGCAGGGCCCCAGCAGCCAGAACGTCACTGAGTATGTCGTTCGAGTTCCCAAGTAAGTCCCTGAGCCCTCTTCCCACTTCCCCCGAGAAGGGATCAAAACCCTCCTGAGCTTCTAGGCATGCCTGGCACCTCCTGTGATTCTCCCTCCTAACTAGCAGGGACCTGGGGACAGGGCTGGGGTTGAGCCGAAGCCTCTCTGGGGCATCCTGTGTTTTGAACAGAAGGAATGAATGAATAAACGAATGAGTACATTAATAGGCGGTAGGATGCAGCCTCCTGGCCTGGCATTCCCTCGGGCAGGAGTGGCTTTTCCCCAGTTGTGACTCCTTTGTTGGTCCTCTGGAAACCCGGTTCCAGGATTTTCCTCCTCTGGGAAACATTCCCTGCCTGCCCTCCCCCATCCCCAGGGCAGAATTCCCCATTATTCCCACATCTTGAGCTACCCCAGGTCTTTGTGCCTCCTTCTGCTCTTCTTCAGCATGGGGTGGGGGAGTACGGATCTGTTCCCTGTCAGACTGGGAACCCCTGAGGGCTTTTGTGGGTCGCCAGCTTTGCTGAGCCAGGGAGTGTTTGTTAAATGAATGAAGGACTGAGCACTGCCTCTCCTTGCCCATTCCAGAAACACAACTAAGAAATATAACATCATGGCCTTCAACGCAGCTGATAAAGTCAATTTTGCTACCTGGAATCAGGTAAGTCCCTGTTGTGAGTGAGTGCGAGAACCTGATCCTGCACTTGGTGGTTGCAGTAGATGCTTAGTTATAGTAGTAACTGAGGCTTGGTTTCCTCCACGCGCCCTGAGTGGAGATAAGATGATGTACTAAGGCCCAGGCTGAGCTGCTGGGTATCCCTGTGAGGAAGATTGGGCAGGCCCCACAGGAGGCCTTGTGAAAGGAGAACATTTAGAATTTGTGTCCACTGACAGGCATTTTTGGTCTGGAGTTATCTGGGCAAGGGAGGGGGCTGCATCCTGCAGATGGTTTTTGGAAGCTGTCTCTCTCCATTGGTGCTGCTATAGCAGAATACCCCAGACCGGATGACTTATAAACAACACACGTTTGTTTCTCACAGTTCTGAAGGCTGGGAAGTCCAAGATCAAGGTGCCAGCAGATAGATTTTCGGTCTGTTGAGGGCCTGCCTCCTGGTTCATGGATGGCTGTCTTTTTACTGTGTGCTCACCTGGCGGAAGGGTGAGGGAGCCCTCTGGGGCCTAAGGGCACTCATCTCATTCACGAGGGCTCCACCCTCATGACCTAATCCCCTTCCCAAGGCTCCACCTCCCGAAGCCATCACCCTGGGGGTTAGTTTTCAACGTATGCATTTTGGGGTGGACCACCAACATTCAGTCTATAACAGAAGCCATTAAAGGGTTTTAAACAGGGCAGTTATAGTGATCTGGGTGCTGTCAGGAGACAGGCTTAGACAAAGGGTGTGCAGGGTGGAGGCGTCGGCTGGGGTCCAGGGGAGTGACCTTTGGGCCTGGAGCAAACAGCGGTTATGAGAAGTGAGTGGATTCTAGTGTGTTTCGAAGTGGAGCCAACATGATTTGTTAATGATTGGATGTTGAGGGGTGACAGGGCCAGATGGATGGAGTATTTGAGAACTCTGGTCCCGACATCATATGTTAGACATCCAGGTGGAGATGGGAAATAAGCAGTTGAGCATATGAGTTGGGAGACTGGCAGGGAGCATCTGGGCATTTGGAGCTGCATTTAAAGCCACGGAGCCTGAACTAGCCCAGCAGAGGAGTTGGCCCCAAGTCTAAAGTCGGCAGCTTCAGACCTTCGCTCAGTCGGGCGGCTCCTACTGCTCAATCTTGTTTTCCAGCACAGGTCTCTCTTTGGACTATTTTTAAACGTCACTTCATCTAGTTGAGCAAATGAGGCCATTGGACATTGGGCAGGTGAATGCTTGCCCAGGGCACCCTCTTCCCTTATAGGGTGCCTGCCTCCCAGCATCTCCAGCTGCACACCCATTCATATAGAAACTAACATGCTACCCCAAAGTCAGGTCTCACCTAAATTATCCAGAGAGGGTGCAGGGTTTCCAAATCCCTGATCACTCAGTGGGGGGACATCCTTTATCACTAATCATCCAAGAGAGAAATAACCCACCCATCGGGGGCACCCAGCCCCCAAACAACACTCATTGCTAAGAAGAATAACTTGGTAAATACTTTGGGAACATACCACCTACCATCCCTCATTAAGTAGGAGGGCCCCTCTCCCCCGACCCATGAGAACCCAGGGGAGCCTACCCCTCAGTCACCCATCATCTTGAAGTGCAGCACCTGAGTAGTTATCACCTCTTGAGACACGTGACCTCCTAGCCACTAGGAACTTGGGGGTTACACATACCCCATTCCCTGATCATCATGGGGGGATATCACTCATCACTCCTTTTTTTGACCATCTGGAGGTCACACGCCCTGAAAATCTAGTCACGGGGAGATACAGCCCCCAGAATTCTCATTGACTAAGAGGCATACTCTCTAAAAAACTTAGGAGGATTACATTCCCTGGGGAAAAATGAATCCACTGGGTTCTCACTAATCACCCGAGGGAGGGGGCAGGTACAGGCGTCTAAGCGCTGTCAACCACAAGGGACATCCCTTCCCCCAGTAGCTTCTCCTCACCCATGGCAACTCGTGAGCAGAAGCCCCCCCCCAGATGCATTCTTTGCAGCATCTGTCCCCAGAGACCGTGCCCTGGGCTAGTGGTGAACCAGCCCAGCCGCGGCCCTGCCCTCTGGGGTGACCGCCTTCAGAGAATCAGGCCTGTTTACCCCCCTTTAGTGATGAGGCACACCCTGAGCTGGCTCCCAGAAAAGGAGGTGCAGGAAGGACAATGATTCCTCCCATCCCCTGGGGGTGCCCTGATTCTGGCCTCAGCCTGGGTAGCTTGACCCCGGATCAAAGGCTAGCTTGGTAGCCATTTTCCCTCCTATTTCGAAGCTTTTGTTCCATCGTCCTCCAGCGTGTGGTGGTGGTGACTGTTGAGAATTTCCGCCACCCCCATTCTTGTCCTTCATATCAGGGGTCAGCAGGCTTTTTCTTGAAGGACCAGCTAATTATTATGCTTGGCTTTGTTGGCTGGTGTCTGGCACAGCCCTTCTGTCCTGCCCCGTACACAGTAAAGACACAATGATATGTAAATGAGTGGGCGTGGCTGCACGCTAATAAAACTTTGCTTCTCCCCCCCCCCCCCCCCCCCACCCCCGCCACTTCCTGGATGCTTGTAGGATCTTCTTGTTCCCAGCCATCTGAAGTCTCTTGACAGGGGGAAGTAACATGGGTCATTCGCCTTTTCCAGCTAACATGTCTTCACAATTGTTCCACACTCTTGGCCCCTCTCTTTGGCTCTTTTCCCTTCCGTTGTGTGGAGACGGCCCTGTGTGTTAAGCGAGTCCCCTGCTGATGTGCATGAGGTTCACTTCCGGTCTTTTGCCGCCGCAGACAGTGGCGCAGCCAAGGGCCCTGTGTGTGTGGCATTTCACCTCCGCTATCTGGAGGAGGCAGCCTGAGGGAAAGCGGTGTGCGCGCCTGAGAATTTCTAATTGGCTGCTGAATTGCCTGGAGATCCAGATCTGGAAAGCAGCCTTTAATGGTGTCTAAATGCAGACAGAGAAGAGGAGTGGGCCGGTTCCAAGCAGGTTCTTTTCATTGTTTTTGCTTTTGTCCTCT